GAAACATTATAGAATGTCTTATGCTGTGAACTGTTGAAGCAGATGTCCATTTCAGCAGGCGTAAGTGCAGCCATGAATGGGATCGTTGAATTTTTTATTCTTCCTAAGATAATACATGTTTACCCTACAGTAAGAAATCTGGCTGTTTTATGCTCAGGAGTTGCAGACTACAGAATCAGGATTTTGCATGTAACACTTTGTGTTATCGTTGCAGGTTTTGCAAATTGATGATGTCACAATAAAAATAAGTGCTTTAAAGGGAATCTTTGACTAGCTGATAATGTTTGGGGTTGAACCACTTAAACCTAAAAACTCAAAGCCTTTTAATATGAAGGTGCAGAGATAAACAGTGATTGATGAGCAAGAGTCATAAAAAGTTGAAAAGGCCTTACAGCGAAGAATGTTCTGAAATACCTTTCTGATTTCTTAGATAGTGAGGTATCTATACTTAGGACAGGAGCCACAGAAGGACTAGCCAAGCCGATGTTCTCTGGGCTTTGGGTCAGCAGCAGGACTTTTTCCCATCTTATTTTGTAATGGTAGAGTCCTGTGACTGAAGAGGATGTTTGACTTCTACATTGCCTAGGTATGTTCTCCCCCATGTTTGCTTATGCAAGCAGGACTAATCAGGAATGCTTTGAAGAAGTTTCTCTTCCAAGCCTGCAAACACTGGCCAGTGCTCCTGCATCTTCTCCTTTAGCTGAAATTGATATCAGAAATGTTCTTGAGTTACTTATAGATTTGACGAGAACAAGCAGATTAAATTCTCAGGCCAAGAATTCCTAAGATTATCAGCCTTAACAGTACATGACAGTTTGGCTATAAAAATTTGCAGTGAGGCCGGGCGCGGTGGTTCAAGCCTGTAATCCCAGCACTTTGGGAGGCCGAGATGGGCGGATCACGAGGTCAGGAGATCGAGACCATCCTGGCTAACCCAGTGAAACCCTGTCTCTACTAAAAAAAAATACAAAAAACTAGCCGGGCGAGGTGGCGGGCGCCTGTAGTCCCAGTTACCCAGGAGGCTGAGGCAGGAGAATGGCCTGAACCCGGGAGGTGGAGCTTGCAGTGAGCTGAGATCCGGCCACTGCACTCCAGCCTGGGTGACAGAGCGAGACTCCGTCTCAAAAAAAAAAAAAAAAAAAAAAAAAATTTGCAGTGAGATCTTAACAAGTCCATGCTCACCAGAAATTCGGGTTTCTATAAAAGCATTGAGTTCTTTAGAACTCAATAGCCATCTTGCAAAAGATCTTCTGATTCTATTGAATGGGATTCTGGAGCAAGTAAAGGATGGGGCACATCTGAAAGCTTTGGAGAAAATCAAGATTCAGCTGGCAAAAAGGAAATAAAGAATTTGGTGACCAGCCTGAAGCAGCACAGGATGTCAACTTGACTAGAACTATTTTTCAAAATGAAGATGAAAAGAATAAGGAAGTACATATGACTCTTGTTAGGGATGTAAAAGCAACCCTGGCATCAAAATCTAGTCAGCAAAAGACTAACAGGGGACAGAGAAAAGTGACAGCTTCAGCTAGGATGAACAGGAGACATCAGATTGCTGAGGCTGACTCTGAAAGTGACCATGAAGTTCTAGAACCAGAATCAGAAATGAAGATGAAACTACCAAGACAAGCCAAAACAGCAGTGCTGGAAAAAAAGTAAACCCAATCTTGCACAATTTCTCAATGAAGATTTAAGTTAGGAAAGATGGTGGAGGTAGAGTTCTTTAAAATTATCTTCAGTTCTTTGCTTGAATAAAGTTACCCTTGTCGAAATTTTTAAAAAGGCCTTCAAAAGAAAATATTGTAAATGAAGTATTTGTATGTTTTAAACTCCTAGAATAATGAATACTGGTAGAATAACTTGAGAAGCCAGTTAATAACCACGATTGTCTTTGTTTTTTTGTTTATTTGTTTGTTTTGTTTGCTTTTGGGACAGAGTCTTGCTCTGTCTCCCAGGCTGGAGTGCAGTAGCCCGATCTCAGCTCACTACAGCCTCCGCCTCCCGGGTTCAAGCGATTCTCCTGCCTCAGCCTCCTGAGTAGTTGGGACTACAGGCGCCCACCACCACGCCTGGCTAATTTTTGTATTTTTAGTAGAGATGGGGTTTCACCATATTGGCCAGGTTGGTCTCGAACTCCTGACCTTGTGATCCGCCTGCCTCGGCCTCCCAAAGTGCTAGGATTACAGGCATGAGCCACCGCGCCCAGCCCATCATTGTCAATTAAAAATAAAGTTTTAAAGAAATAGAAGAAAAACAAGTTAAGCTCTCATTAATGCTCTTGAAAATGCTAGTTTGTATTCTGCTCTGCAACTTTACTGAAGAGTGAGAACTTAGGGAGAGAATGGAAACTCTCACCTTAGATTTATTACCCATATTTTGGAAACATGCCTAACAGGCATGAGATTTTTTTCCTCTGTGTGAGGACAGGTGTCACCAAAAGAATTCCCTGTTCCATCACATAAAATTTTTGGTATCTCACTGGGGAGACTGGCTTTGCAAATTCCTTAAAAAGAATACTAATTATGGCTAAAGTTCTCCTAGTGACATCCCACTTTCCAAACCTTCCCTATTCTACAACTTATGCTTGTGGTAAAACGGTTTAGTCACTGTAAAAGGTTGGTTTCAAATGTTAATGAAGCCAAGTTGCATTGGGTCTTCTAACTCTCAAGCCATCTGCAAAATTGTTATTTTGAAACTCAGGAGCTAGGTGGAACATATTGGGCATAGTTGTTGATGATGAATACTACACTTCACATCACTGCAGAAGACAGTGAATGCCCCCCATAGGACATTGTCCAATTCAAGGAGAGGTATCGTGGTATAGTATTTAAATTCACAGGCTTTTGAGCCTATTTAACATGGGTTTTCATCATTCTCAGCAAACTATCGCAAGAACAGAAAACCAAACACCGCATGTTCTCACTCATAGGTGGGAACTGAACAATGAGATCACTTGGACTCGGGAAGGGGAACATCACACACCAGGGCCTATGGTGGGGAGGGGGGAGGGGGAAGGGATTGCATTGGGAGTTATACCTGATGTAAATGACGAGTTGATGGGTGCTGATGAGTTGATGGGTGCAGCACACCAACATGGCACAAGTATACATATGTAACAAACCTGCACGTTATGCACATGTACCCTAGAACTTAAAGTATAATAATAAAAAAATAAATAAATAAAAATTTTTAAAAACATGGGTTTGAATCCCAGCATCACCAACAGTGTGGCCTTGGGTAAACTTCTTCTTCCTCTCTCTCTCTCTCTCCAAAGTTCATTTTTTTCTTCTGTTAAGGGGGGGTTAATAATATCAGTCATAGGGCTATTAGAAGCATTATATATAATAATATAAAATGATTTAAAAGTTTGCCTGGCACATAGTAAATTCTCAATGAATAACAGCATGATTATTAAGGGATGAAAGGAAGTTAATAAATGGATAATTCTATTCAGCTTTGAATTTCCAAATCCGTGTATCTTTCTAGTGTAAACATGAATGAATAAATGATATTTATTGCACATATACATGAATGAATATTGGGTTTTTTTTTCTCTATGCAATTAAAAAGTACCTGTCTAAAATTTACAGATACGGAGAACAGGTTAGTTGTTGCCTAGGGACAACAACTAGGTGGGGGTGGGGGACACATGACTAAAAAGGGGTAGATGCGGGGGAGATTAAAGATCTCTGCTTTGTGGTGATGGAGTAGTTCTGCCTTGTAATTGCAGTGGGGTTTACACAAATCTGCACATGAAAAAATGGCATAGAACTTACCTTCACATTGTACCCATGTCAGTTTCTTAGTTTTGATAATGTACTATAGGAGGTAAAATATAACCACTGGGGGAAACTGGTAAAGAACATCCCAGACTTCTTTGTTCTATTTGTGCAACTCCATGCTAATCTATAATTACTTCAAAATAAAAAGTTAATGACATAAAGTATCTGTTGAGAATTTCCTTCTTTTACCACAATTACAGTATACAGATTTCTCACTCGGTTTCTTCAGTAATCCAATTAGAGTTCTGGCGTAAGCTTTGTCGTTGGACTTTTATTTTTATTTTAGTTTATTTTAGTTTATTTTATTTGAGACTGAGTCTCACTCTGTAGCCCAGGCTAGAGTGCAATGGCTTGATCTCAGCTCACTGCAACCTCTGCCTCCCGGGTTCAAATAATTCTCCCACCTCAGGCTCCTGAGTAGCTGGGATTACAGGCACCTGCCATAATGCCTGGCTAATTTTTGTATTTTTGTAGAGACAGGATTTCGCCATCTTGGCCAGGCTGGTCTTGAACTCCTGACCTCAGGTGATCTGCCCACCTCAGCCTCCTAAAGTGCTGGGATTACAGGCGTGAGCCAGCGTGCTGGGCCTGGACTTTAAATATATAATATTTTAAGTGCTCTCTCCCCATTGTTACCCCTTCCTAAGCCAATGCACGCCTTCACACCACGGGTCTGAGGATTAAGTGGAAGCTAAATGTGCTACAGACAAAATTCCTAAAAGATGCAAAGTTTGGTCATCTTCGATTCTAAAATATTCTCAATTGATTAACACTGAGCAGCAGGATTAAGCATGTGGCTAGATATATTTCAATCTATTTCCTGCCAGCACCAGCAACGATGTGAGTATATTATTAAAATCCTCTGTGAATTAAGAAGTAAGGCAAATTAGTATCAGCTCACAGTTTGGAAGTCTCGATGTGATACTACTAATCAGCAAATCAGCTGAATAACAAGAAAATCAGATAACCTTAATTTAGGTGATTTGGTGGTTGCACAGCTGTGTTCCCAGTATGTAGACCAGTACTTGGGCACCCAGTAAATATGCGTGGATGAATTAATGAGCGAATGAAAGGATGGCAGGACCATTAAGGCATCCCATGAGAAACTGACAAAGTCTAAAAACAGGAGTAAAGAACTAATTCACCTTTGTGGCCCAGGTCTTGATGAAGCAGGACCTGCCAGGAAACTTTCTAACCCTTCTCTCTGTGCTCCTCTAGGCAGCTTGAAATCCACTCTCCAGATGCTAAGCACACAGTGATCCTAAGGAGCAAGGACTCAGCTACCGCCCAGGCATGGTTCAGTGCCATCCATTCCAACGTTAATGACCTGCTGACCCGAGTGATTGCTGAGGTCAGAGAGCAGCTGGGGAAAACAGGCATTGCTGGAAGCCGAGAGATTAGGCATCTTGGCTGGCTTGCAGAAAAGGTAAGAAAAATACCTTCCTCTATAATAGTCATCCTTCCCAAGATTCCCCCAGCGCTCATAACCACTAAAGTTATCTCATTCCATAGGCTGATTCTCTCATTCACAGTCTGTGTGGATTTCTTATCCCTCTCCAGCAGGCTATAGGCCTTTACATTATACAGGGGTTTTGTCTTAATTGAATTTGATTACCTGCATTTAGTCAAACGTGGCAGATTGCACGGGGTCCAGGTTGTTGGATGATGGATGAACGAGTGAGTTGAGGAATAGTTTGATTTTAACATCTATGTATGAAGGGAAGGGAAAATCACTCAACCTCAGAACAGAGCTGTTGCTTTGGGAGGCAAGGAAGTCCAAATTATTGCTTCAAAAGGGTTTGTGTGGGTTTTGATGAGCCTGTTTGTTAATAACACAGACACTTTTGAGATGATTCAATTATACATTTACAAGTAACAGCAAGGATTACTTGAGCAATTACTATAAGCTAGCTCTTTTCTTATGTTATCTTATATTTTATTTGTGCTCTTAAGCCAGCCACTTTTTAATGTTATCATTAAAGAGCACCTACTTTTGTGAGGCACAGTGCGAGGCAGGAGTCAGGGAGGGAGTGAAAACATAAAAAGACTTAGCCTCTGTCTCAGAGAGGACAGCTGCTGTGGAAAAGACTTTGGGTCATATTAACACGGTCCCTGATTTCTTTTCCCAAGTTATGTGATATGTTAAAGATAGTAAAACTCACTTTGTGGCCATCTCTTGGGAGTTACTCTTTCTCTCTATTTCAAAGGATTGAGCCTTTGCCATTGTCCTTACACATGATTGCTGTCCCTTGAAGTTGACCTTGAGTGCTCAGGAACGCTGGACTTTGGGGATGATCTGACCTCCCAGTGACTCACTTTCTAATAGACAGTAAATGGGAATAGTGAATGTCACAATAACACCTTTCCTGCCAAAGAACTCTGTCATCTGAGAAGGCCCAGTCAAATGGCACCTGGAATAATACTTGAACACACCATTTGGCTGTTTTCCATCATTGTGCTTTGTTTGCAGCAGATCATGCATGGGTCTTAGCCTAAAAATTTAACACCAAATGGGTTGTTTGACTTGGTATTGTCCTATCTCTCAGAGATTTCAAAGAACCAAAGGGACAATGCAGGTGATAGGAGCATCCAAATTCATAATAAACACAAACCACCCATAGCCTTTCATGAGTTTATGTGTTAGGGTTCCTGCAAGACCATAAATCTGGATGGCTGATATAATTTTGAAAGTCACATCTCTATCACTCTCCACTTTCTACTCTCTTTAAATGCATGTGTTTTTATTAGGAAAGGGCCTGATAGTCAGGGATCTTTCCATTACAAGTGGCAGAAAACTCAACTCAATTTAGCCTGAGCAAAATGGGCATGCCTGGGTTCTGATAACTGCAATGTCCAAAGATAAGCTTCAGGCATGGTGGGATCCAGGGACTTAAATAATGTATTAGGTCTAAGTCTCCATCTCTTTCTTTCCCTGTCCTTTCATTAGTTTATTACCAGGCTTCCTCTCTACGTGGCCTGACGGTTCCAGGCTTAGTTTTCTTTGCTCCTGGTTGTCTCAGTGAAGAATGGCCTCTTTGCCCCAATTGTTCCAACACAAGTCCTGAGATTATAAGTCTAATTGGGTTGACTTGGATAATTTGTTCAGTCTTAGTGCTGAAATCAGCCTCACCTAAGTCATTTGCAGTGAAGTTGAGGAGGGGTGGTTCTCTAATGGAAAAAATCAGGTGCTGTGCAAGAAAAAGAATCAATGGATACCAGGGAAGCAAAAGCAACCAACATTTACTGTAGAACAAGAGAAGGAGCTGATTGTGATGAAAAATGCTCTCACTTGGTTAAAGTTCTGGGTGGACTTGGAGATATAGCACATATTTCAGGATCCTGGCAGCAGATGGATGGGAAGGTCAAAAGGGATAATTGGAAAGGATTTAATGCAGGAATAATTTATAAGGTATAGCCAAGGTTTGAGAAACCAATAAGAGATAGAGAAGAACTCCAGGGCCAACAGTAGTAAGAGGCCACTACCATCCCTTGACCAGAAAGGGCAAGGAGAAGCAGCAGTTACCTGAGACTAGGAGGCTTCTAGCTGTAGAAAAGTGCCACCTACTACCAGCTGTGGTCTTTGGAAGAGAAATGTAGCCCCTGCCAACCCCTGCCCACTGACACCCTACTGGTGTCTTCCAAAGGCTGAAGCTGGCTGGAAGCCAGAGGCAAGAAGCCCCATGGATGCACTCTTAAGGTGAGTCTCCCAGGGTGCAGAGAAGGATGGGAAAGGTAGAGACTGGATCTGAAGGGCAGAGGGAAGCTGGCCAACACATACAACCCTGCATCTTCCAAGGTGATGGTCTTAATCGTTGGAGGTACTTTTCTCTCATCTCTTTAAATACAAGCTATGTTTAAAATCATTACTATTCATGAAATTAAAAAATCTTCCAAAGGTTACTCTTTCTCACCTATAATTTGTCTCATGCCTTTTGCTTATCCCAAATTATTAGCAGACATATTATTAGACATTCTCATGGAACAGTAATAAATGTGCATATAAAGCTCTTCCTGTTTTTAGCATATGATTGTTCTTATGATGTAATTTTAGATCATGATTCTAGAGGTCTCCTTAAGGGTATTATGCAGAGTATCTGTAAGAGCAATAATGATCATGGATAATTATGAGAAGCAAGAATGTCTTTTATTGCCTTCATTTTCACACTTCTCAGAAGATTACCATAGATCAAGTTTAAGGGAACAAATCCAAACTAGATTTTTTTGAATAAATATTTAATACTGAATCCTGGTATGCAGATATATGAATGGTTTTTAGCAAAATGTTACAATGAATGGCAAATCCTTAATACGATGCCTTTCTTATATTATCACAAATACCATGAATTCACTTGGTATTTGTAAAGACATAAAATGTGATCCTATATCTATCTAGCTGTAATTTATCTTAAATTGACATTCTTTGTCTTTTCCTATATTGTTATATTTTGATTTTGTAAATTTATCACAGTCACTCTGTGACAAGGTTGTTCAGATGATATTTAATTTAGTTTCAAGTTTTTAGAAGTGGCATTTATGTGAACTCAAAAAATATGAAACAACAACTTCCTTTTTAAAATTCCGTTTAGTGCAAATCTTAAAATCTCCTCAACACTATACAGGAGGAAAATTTAGTATTAACATTATTTTTCTTCATGAGATAGTCAGGAGACTTGAAGAATGGCTTCTGAGAAATGACAGGGATTTGAGTGAATGGAGACATTTCCCTGCACTCCAAGAGAGGAGAAAGAAGGAAGGCCTGTGTTAGTATGGCTTGTTGGGGGACTGGGGGAAAGACCAGAGACTGATCTAAAGTGAAGCAAGAGTTCATCCTGGAGAAAAGTGATAAGAGGACCTGACACCTTGGACTAGAACCTGATTATGAAAGATTTTTTTTTTTTAATAGACAGTGTCTCACTATGATGCCCAGGCTGGAAATCCTGGACTCAAGCAATCCTTCTGCCTCAGCCTCCCAAGTAACTGGGACTACAGGTGTGTGCCCCTGCACCTGGCTACCAATTATGGAAAATCTGCTTTCCTCTGTGAGCACTGTCACCTGTAGATGGGTCATGTATATCAATGTAAAGTCCCTCCCATGTCCATATTAGCCTCAAATCTTTCTTTCTTTTTTTTTTCCTTTGAGATGGAGTCTCGCTCTGTCTCCCAGGCTGGAGTGCAGTGACATGATGTTGGCTCACTGCAATCTCTGCCTCCGAGTTCAAACGATTCTCCTACCTCAGCCTCCTGAGTAGCTGCAATTACAGGCACATGCCACCACACCCAGCTAATTTTGTAGTTTTATTAGAGATGGGGTTTCGCTCTGTTGGCCAGGCTGGTCTCAAACTCCTGACTTCAGGTGATCTGGCCACCTCGGCTTCCCAGAGTCCTGGGATTACAGGCGTGAGCCAACACGCCCAGCCAGCCTCAAATCTTTTAACTCGTTGCAAGCCCCCATGTGGCCCAAGATGAGCCATAAATACCAACTCCTGTGAATTGTAAAATGCGTCATGCCCCAAACACATTTTTCCCAATCTTTGTTTCTTAGTTCATCTAATCTTTTTACAGTTTCATTACATTTCAGATAAGAGAAAAACAAGCTAAATTCCGACTCTCTTGCTACTCAGAAAAACAATAATAAACAGGGACACAGCAGAATTGTTGAGTTCTATTTTGTGCTCAGTTCATCAGGCGTTCCCTTTGCTTTCCCTTGTTATCTCGGTTTGCAAACTATTTCTTGTCAGATTAAATATGCAAAAACACAACACAGCAAAACAAAAGCCCAGATGGGAGCTCTGAGATGCAAGTTCAGGTATCAGCTTTATTCATTTCCATTTCGTATTCTTTCAAATGGGAGCGTTTATATAGTTGTGCCTCCCCATGGTGTTACTGGAGAAAAGGAAGTTGGTAATTCATACTTATTATGGGCAATATGCTTCAAATCATCCAAATCCAATGAGGTAAACTTGTAGTATTTGAGTAACTTTTCTAAGATCTCTCCTCTAGCATGCGGTAGATTTAGAATTTGAGCTTCTCTTTCTAACTCCAAAGTCCAGCACTTTCCACTAAGCTGACCTTATAAAGGGGCCCAGGAAACATCTGTCCTTATGAGTAATGCCTCCAACAATCCCATCTAGAGCAGTATCAGACGAAAAGCACAGTTTCAGAGCTAAAAGACATACCAAGATAATTCAAATCCTTTTAAATTATGAAAATAAGGGAAATTTCCATCCTGGCTAACATGGTGAAACCCCATCTCTACTAAAAATACAAAAATTAGCTGGGCGTTGTGGCGGGCACCTATAGTCCCAGCTACTCTGGAGGCTGAGGCAGGAGAATGGCGTGAACCCAGGAGGCAAAGCTTGCAGTGAGCAGAGATCACGGCACTGCACTCCAGCTTGGGCAACAGAGCAAGACTCCATCAGGAAGGAA